TATTTGATACTGTATGAGTGTCAAAAGTTTATTCATTTTACCTAAAGTCCTTTCTTCTAACAAAGCACAGGATGCCTTTCTCTACCTTTAACAGGGGGCAAAGATTTGATTTCAGTTTGTATTTTCCTTTTTCTCCTCTCCCAGGTGGTTGCAAGTCAACACCCTGAAGTAAAGTTCTCCATGGTTCACAAGAAAATCAACCTGGCCGACGACATGCTGGCCTGGGAGCACGAGCGCTTCGGGATCCGCCGGCTGCCGGCCTTCACTCTGTCCCATCTGCCCTCGCACCGCTCGGCTCAGCGCTCCAGCATCATGGACGTGCGGTCAGTGTCCCCCTCCTCTCGCCATGGAGCGGGAGAGCCCCCTGCTGGGTGGGTTCATTACTGCAAGTTACATGAATTCCCTAAAAGAAAGAGTCTTGCATTGCAGCTCCCGGTTTCGGACTTTCTTCCATCGTCTGTGTGCCGCTTTAAAATGATGTTTCATTTTTTTATTTGTTAAAGGAAGGGTACTTACTTTTTAAATATTTTGTCCTGTGGTAATCATGATAAACTGCTACACTGGTCTTTTCTTCCTCCCAGCGTTTCAAGGTACACATTATTTAAAACAAGAAATCCTGGCCAAAGAAGAAAGTTTATTGCCGTTATTTGGCAGAAATATTCAGTTCCTTCATTTGTGAGCCGCTCAGTCTGCTGGCTGTCCTTTAAAGTTTTTTTTTTTTTTTTTTTTCTGAAACCTGGCTCGGATGAGGTGTAATCTTTCAAATGTTCTTTTTATTTATGTAACTTTATTCTTTTGGCCATCAGAGAACCGATAGACAAGCTTATTTCTAACCCCGCTCTGTAACGGCGCCTTAAAATCTCTTTGCTCCTTGTTTGTATGTCTTTCCTCATCTCTCAGTAGATTCTCAACATTTATATTCCAGTAAACACAGGGACCGCCTTGACTTAAAGCAACACGTCGCATCACAAAACATTTTTCTTCACCTGTGAAGTAGCTCAGAGTGGCTGCACAGATTTGCCTTTTGGTTTTGGCACCATGGAGAAGCTAGGCTGCGATATATTTCTGATTCAAACTGCGATATTAGTTGTGATTAGTTCACATTTTTCTTACCTGATTCTGTCCTCCCCGTCATCACAGTTTTTCCATCTCTCTTCTTGACTCTGAACCTTTCAGCCACCAACCAAATGCTGCAAAAAAATTTGGATCGGGTGTGTGTACCAAGGACCGTCCGTTTGACTAAATATATTATTTGCTTAAAATATAACAACTTGCCAAATGTTGCAGGTCTTTTTGACTGTGATTTATTTCTCATCTTCACTCAGAAACAACTATGCATGTTGAATTGTGGCCCTGTTGGCCCTCGAGGACACATCAGTTTCTTTTATTCTCAGTTGGCTGCGTTTCTGTCTGTTTGTTGTCGCGCTCCTCTGCTTTAAAAACCCGTTTCTTCTTACAGGCCTCACGTAGATGTCAGCAAGCTCAGCAGGAACGCCAAGGTGGTAGCGGAGGCTCTGGCGAGGGTCATCTACAATCTCACAGAAAAGGTGAAAATCGCCAGTGAATAATTTAATTGTAATCTGTTCTACTTATATTCTGCGTGTAATGCTTGCTGTCTGTTTCTCTTCTGCACAGGGAGCCTCTGGAGATCTCCAGATTTTCACAGAACAAATGGTGTGTAGCTACTGAGTCAGCTAGAAAAGTTTAACCTTCTGTGTATAATTTGAGACACTGAATGGACTCTGTCCAGCTGTCGTCTTTCCTGTAGTGATGTGCTTGGTGTCCCACGTCAGCAGGTGCAGGAGGAGCATCTGTCCGCCGTGGTGGACTGGCTCACGGCGCAGCCGCGAGCCGCTCAGCTGGTGGACAAAGACAGCAGCGTCGTCTCCACGCTGGAGTATCACCTCAGCCGTTACCTCAAGGACGTCAAAAGGCACTACGTCAAAGCTGACAAAAGGTGACGGTGGAGCTGAAGTACAGATGAAAAACGGTGACGCTGTCAGTGAAACACGGCGCCTACAGTCTGGAGTTTGACTTTGGTTTCCAGTTGTGGAGAAGTACGGACAGAGAAAATAAGAGTCTGGAAAAATATTTGTGCTTCCAGACTTTTTATTTGTGTAAATGTTGTACTTTTTTCCTCTCTTGTTTACCTTGAATGCTGTATGTTCATTGTTCTCTCTTTTTTCCTTCCTTTTTCCTTCATTGCCCCCTTTTTTCATCTGTTTTCACTCCTTCATGCCCTTCTTTCCATCTTGAAATCTTTATTTCCTTCTATCACCCCTTTTCTTTTGTCCTTATTTCTTTTTTTTCTGCTGTCCTTCCATCCTTTCCGTTCTTGTTTTTATCTGTCTTCTTTTCATTTACTCTTCCTTTGTTTTTGTGCCCTGTCTTTTTCAGACTGCCATGAATTCAAATTGACAGTTTTTGTTGTATAATTAACAAAAAGGGTTGACAAATCAGCCTGGAAAATATTTATCAGATATCTGGAAACCAAATGAAACCACACAAAGTAAATGAACCACCTTCTATATAACGGCAGTAGTAATAGGAATCGTGCTTCATCAAGCTGCTGGAACATACCACTGTCAGACCTGTTGGTGATCTGTTTACTCTAAATATGGTCTTAAAACAAAAGTTTCACTTTTCTCCTTTCCAGGGATCCGGAGTTTGTTTTCTACGATCAGCTGAAGCAGACTATGAATGCTTACAGGTAACGGCGTCATCTCCTCTGAGATGCTTCAGTTCGTCTAAAGCCACAGTGTTCATCTCAGATGGTTTTATCAGCAGATCGGCCTCCCGGCTGCTCCAACCTCCATACTCACCATGTGATTGAATGCCTTGGTAGAAGGATTTATGCTCCTTCTAGGTTGTTTTAACAGATCAACCTTAGGCTCTGCAGTTTTAGTTTATCGTCACTGATGCAATGAATGTTCTATTCAGATCATTTTGAGATGAACTGCTGATGGTCCTCTCTCAGTCTTTGCCATTTTTCCCCTCCTTTTCTCTCAGAGTGAAGCCAGCTATTTTTGACCTGCTGCTGGCTCTCTGCATTGCAGCCTACTTAGGGATGATGTATCTGGCTATCCAGGTAAGCCACCATGTTGTCGCAGTAGCTTGTATCTCCTTAGGGACGGCCATTGAGAAATATGTGGAGCATCGGTTTAGTGGAAGGTCAAAAAGAAAATTTCAGCTTATTAAAATGTGGGTCTTCAGTTATTTATTATTATTTTGTACTATTAAAGAAGATGTTTAATTAAATAACAGATGGATCATCATGGATCGAAACTAGGACAAAATACCAATAGTGGAGTTTTATTTAGTCTGTTTTATTTATTGGTGTTTAACGTCAGAGTGAGGGGGGAGGGGAGAAAAGTTTTTGTAGTTTGTGAATTATCTGGTTTCTGCTGCGTGAACATTAACAGAACGTGCCGTCTGTAAGTCAGAGATTAATTGCATCTCCTTTCTCTTTCCGCAGAACTTTGGACTCCTTTACAGCGTTGTCCGGAGAATCACTCAGCCCAAAGCCAAGGTCCACTGAGGTTTCCTGTTTTCAAGACCTCACTGTACCTCCTTCCTCAAATCCAGACACTCTAGCCAGTAAGAACGCAGAAGCCGGACCGAACTGCTGTTCTGATCAGGACCAGAAGCGTCACTTCCATTTCCTTTGCCCGGATGCACAAACTATGATGTCAGATCCTGTCTTGCTGCCAACCTTTTCCTGGTCTCATGGACCTCGATATTCAGGAGTCGTGTTTTGAGATGTTAACAGTTTGGTTATGTTTTTCTGTGCTGATCCACGTTTGTTTCCCCGTCTCTCGTCGCTCTTTGAGCCGGACTGATGTGTCGTGTTAGGCAGCTAGAAACTGGAGTTCCTGTGATCACAGGCCCATCGAAGGAAAGATGCAAAGTTTTCTAGTTTCTTTCAATGTCCATCTCACGTGCTTTTATGAGATGTTCTGCAAAATGCATCACTATTGTTCTTTATGCTTCAAAAATTCCCCCAAAACAAGAGGGTCAATTACCAAGCATTTAATGTCTCAAATCAGCAATATCCAGCATGAAACAAGTTGCCTTCATAGTTTTTGTGCCAATTTAACCTTTATTTTTAGCTGGTGGCAGTCAGTCACTTCTCATTTCAACGCTGGATGTTTGACAGCTTAGTTCTGCTGGAAAGGGAGCTGAATTTGAACAAGAGGAGCGATCAAAATTAATCAGGAACACATTCAGAAATTTGAGTAGGTGAACGTCAACACTTTGAAAACAAACAAAAAACTCCTAAGATACACAGTTTACAGGAAGGACGATCTGTGAAATGTGAAAATGTTTTTAGATCTTTTTTTTTCTTACCGCCTGATGATTTGTGCAAGTTTCTCCAAATAAACTTTGTTCATTTCTTCTTCAAACTCTGCCATTAATTACTTTTTTTTTTTTTTACTTTCATTTTGCTGTGTGACTTTCTATGATTTATTTTTGATTCTTGAATATGTTCCTCCCTTGATTAAAAGAGATTGTTCAATCATGTGATGGCAGGTATCGGAAAAATCATGTTTTCTTGTGTCAGAGCATGCCTAAATCACATTTATCGGCAGAAAATGATTTGATTTTTGACTTTTTTTTTTTTTTTTCCCTCTGAGCAACAACTTTGTTTCAAACCTAGAGGGTATTTAAAACACTGGACTTCTTAAAAATGGTTAGAAACCCGATAAATGAGGCAGAAATGTCCTAAATGGTTCTCTCTATGGTGTTTTTGGTGTTTATCTGCTTTGTTTTCTTGTGTTCTTTTGCATCACTGCATGACCCATGGTAACAATTACAGAACTTCTTATTTACCCGCAGATGGAAAAACTGTGGTACAAATAAAATCTAATTTATTGGAGTGGTTTGTTCTTGTCTGCGCACTGAAACCAACTTTCCTCTGCAGCCCGTTTCACGTCATCCGTGGCACTTGGATCTTTGCAATGAAAAAAATTGTGATTTTAAAAATAAACGACAAATGGGACTTGTCTGACATTGTTTATTTCATGAGAACAAAATGAAACATTGGCTGAATGGTATTAAAACTGTATTACAAAAGAGCAAATACAGATTTCTTAAGTGTTTCAAAAAGTGGTCGAATTCAGACTGGGAAAAGTTGGGGGAAACTATTTTTTTCTTAATCTTTGCAGTTTACAGTGTTCACCAGTGGTCCAAAGAAAATCAGTAAAATGCATTCCAACGCCTCATTTAATCAATGATCCTTCAGTCATGGTAAAAAGTCTCAATTGCTCCCTTTTTCTTTGTTTTAATCTAATAATAAGCAATAGAAATGGATTCAATTAAACGACCCACAGGGCTTCTGTGCCCGACGCTCAACCAGCTCCTCAGCTTCAATCACCAACTCCCACACTGCCCTTTATTGTTTCAGTAGATATTTTTTTTGGCACAACTGAAGCACTGGTGGAGCTGACTCACTTTCCATACTCAATGTCACAGTTTCTGTGCAAAATTTCATATTTAACGGTAACAAAATTTGGACTGAGCTTTGATTTCATCAGGTAAATTATTTCAGCTCGAAATGTCTTCACAAAAGATTTTCCCTTCCAACTTATTCCTGCAGAGCTGAACTTAAAACAAAAGAATGCCACTTCTTAAATCGTGTTAACGCAGCGTCCACTGTTATGATCTGAGATTAGATCTGCAGATGCCAAATCATGCACAACGTGGTTTCGTTAAGAGTGCATTGTTTGAACATTTCCGTCCGATCCCGATGTTTTGGAAACATGTCAGGAACATGCAAAAATCCACCACGTGTGCTGTGGACGTAAGCATGTATTTGATTTGTTACTTCAGGAAACCCCTAGATCAGCTTTTATTACACTAGGTGTCGAATTCAGACTGTCAAATGTTCAATATGTAAACGTGAGCTACACACGTGAATCATCTTGTTTTTAAGTCTTTTTCTTTGTTTAGGATCATAGGAATCTCAATTCTTGGCTGTATTTTTAAAAATCATTTATAGTGCAGGCTACAGTTCTTGGCACCTCTTGTAAAGATGTGTAAAAAGCCTTAAAATAATGTGATATTTTAGTACATATCACACTGAAAATATTAAGTCAGGAAAAAAATATATATATATATTTTGAACAAAGCCACTGGTGCCTGATGTATTGATCCTCCTATTTCTCTTAGAAATAAATTTAATTAATTTTTTTTGTGCAGTTTTCTTGGGGGATAAATAGGATATTATGTCAACTTACAATTTGCTAAACTGCATTTGGTCAGGAAACTCCACATTGGTCTGGATTAAAACAAAGTGTAATTGTGAAACAGCCTCTGATTTCCACTGTAAAGCACGGTGGAGGATCTGTGATGCTTTGAGTCTGTTTCTCTTCTAAAGAGCCCAGTGGACTGTTGGAGTGCGTACAGCATGAGATCTTTAAAATATAAGATTTTCACAAAAAATCTGATAAACGGGAGTGGTTCACCAACAGATCTAGAAAAAAATCTAGATCCACAGTTTTTGATACAATTATTTCTACACATGGGATTCCTCCCCCTACCCCCCATCTGAATAAATATGCGATTGCAATGAAGGATTAATTTATTTCAAGGCTTTTTGCACATATTTACCAGGCGCTGCCAATGTCAGCATCTCAAAACCTTCAAAAGAGTAAAGATTTTCAAAATTGTCCACAAACCCCGAGGAGCAATAATGACCGAAACCATCTAGACAGGTAGTGGCCTCTTCTAGAGAAAGTTTGTTGTTTTGCTCATCTCGTCGCAGCCCTCTGATGTAGTGACAATCCGGATCACAGATTTCAGGGTTTGTGACTCACACTGGGATTACTGCTGTCATTAAATGAGAAACAGATTAGAGTATCAGAGCTGAGCAGGAAGGTGAGCAACAGGCGGACCGTGTTGTCTACAGCACAGATGTACTACAGTAATCAGAGAATGATCAACAGGAACGGATCAGAGGCTGAATCCAGATGTTGGTCCAGACAGAGGTGAGCGGTGGTCCCCTGATCACATGACTGTCACCGACATCGGCAGAAAACAAACGACAACAAAAAAATCTGGAATACAAACAGTGCTCTCAGAGATAAAAACAGCAGCAATTCAACGAAGAAGAAGAAAAAAAATTACAAACATCAAATTAACTACAGCAACAATAATCATAATTTAAAGAAAACATTTCAAGATAAGCCTCAATTTTCCTGAAACACTGAGGATGATGGAAGACAGGAACGAAAGTGAGCGTCCCCACCGCCGGCGGATTATCCAACATCTGCGGCCTGCTCAAGCAGCACAAGCATGCTGTTCCTCCAAACAAGAGCTGGAATTTGATCGAGAAGGTAGACAAAGTGGAAACATTCCTTATTTTCTTCTACAGGCATGCAGTAAACCAGAGGGCACCTCAGGAAATGATTCCTCTTTGGTTTTCAATTTATGGTTCAAGTTTTTGAAAAAAATGTTGAAATTCTGATTACTTCTGGTTTCTAGATGTGCATCCTATACAGCTGGAAAAATGAGCACTGAACACGGAAAACGTTATTACGCCGCATATATTCTTAAGGTGACTCAACCCAGATGTGGGTAATAACATGTAAAGGGAATAAAATCAATTTAGTGGAATGACACGGATAATAAATAGGAAACAGAAAAGTCTTCACAGAGTCTCCTGTATGGAGTAGCTACATGGTTTTGATCCATTCTTTCAAACTAGTTAAAATCCTCAAGGTTCTGGTTAGATATTCTCTCTTGTTTATAACAAATGTCAGCCGTATAATTTCCTGTAAAAAGGCTGCAGAGACCTTTCAACACTTTGCAAATGAGAAACATTTCTAGAGGCCATAAATTACTTTCTAAATACTAACAGATTTCAGCATTTTTGCATTTTAAACCTTTTTTTTTTTTTGGCACTCCACTTTGTCACACGTGACCTAATTATCAGATTAATACGTGTTTATTTCTCTGTAAGTGTGGATTAATTGGGTTGTTACCGAAATCCGATGTGAATTACATGCTAACAACACCATTAAAAATACATTTCATGAAAATACGGACAACGCTTATTTTCTCCAGTGTATAGTTTGATCACATTTTGTCCAGAAGATGCGTTTAGGTGCCGCTGGGAGAATGTGTAAAATACTGACTTGTATGTTAGGACTTCAGTCACTTCAAAGAGCAGTTTTAGTTATTGGCGATATAGCTAAAAGGTTTGTGAAAAATACTTCACACATTTCCAAAAATCATTCTGACTTCATGCATTCCTGAATAGTAGAGCGAGTGCATACGTTGCGTTTTTGATTATGAGGATTTTTCCACCGCCGTCTGTCACCTGGACACATTGGATATCATTAAATATTGCACAGATATTAGAAATCTCTAGAAATCAAATTGCGATAAAGACCTAGTCAATCAATTCTAGCTGTTTGCTGTCATTAAACCAGCAGTGAGCTTGTATGCCTTCATGTCAGTGCAGCAACAGATGCCATGTAGTCCATACAGAGACAAAGCAGCACAGAAAAAAAAAAAAAAAAAAAAAAAAGGAAAAAGGAGCGCTTTCTGGAGAGGAATCCAAGGGAATATTCAAAGTTCATGTGGGTCAGAAGTGTCATGAAATAAATGGTTTATGTTTAAAAGTCCTAAAATATGCAAACGCCGCCTCTGGCCTCTCAGGTTAAATGAATGGACGCAGGAAATTGGGAAGCAGGTGAAGGATTAGCAGCGATAATCCCTCGTTTCTTCTTGTACAATAAGTCGGAGCGGATGGACGGGAAAGTTAAAGAAGTGGAGAGGGAAGAACGACTAAACAGATAACCCCCAACCTGACGCTGCTGTTGCTTGTTTCCTTGGATCCTACAGGTTATTCGAAGACATGAGAACAGATCTAAACTGTCTCCTATCCTCCGTCCCTCTCTCAAGAAGGTTCCCTTCCTACAGATCTATCAAATGTCAAGCTGACAACAGCAAGACAGGAAGTCAGCTGAAATGACATTCACAGTGCTCTAATAAAATAAAACTGAAAATAAAATGCTCTAAAACAAATACAAAATATAAACTGATTGTACCCTAACTTTCCCTTCTCTTCTTCTCGTTTCTTTCTTTTTGTTTTGTGGTTGTGATGCTCTTTCCCGTCCGGTCACGTGTCGAACGTCTGCTGTCCGAGGAGGGCCTGCAGGTGCAGTCCGGAGCCAGGAGGGGGCACCGGAGAGCCTGTTATAGATGCTTGTCCTTGGTAACTCCGTTCTGTACGTGCTTCCTGCGGGAAGGAAAGGACACACAGACAGCAGAGTGCGGGATAAGAAGGAGTGCACACGGCAGGAGGGCCGATGAGCAGATGTGCAACATTTGGTTCAGAGGATATCAGAACGTGTTCAAGGCCGCTCAGATAAGGGCGTAATCACATCTCAGCATGGTCTTAGGCTGTTCCAGACCCCCCTCTGTGCAAGATTAGCTTGTTCAGCGCCAGCCTCCAAGAGGACAGGTAATGCCAAAACCAAACTGTTAGATTACCTCGCAATACATTATTCAGGATTTTCCTGAAACTGCCCTGAGCAGTGAGACGGACTGGCTGAAGAGGAGACTTCAGGTTTGCAGGGTGTTTAAGTCTGCAGAGGTCAAAGGCCACTCCGATAGAGACGCACGTGGCTGTCAGCGCCGAGATTAAAGATAAAAACAGATACACTTTGGTTTCTGTCAGCAGTTTGTTGCTTAAAGCTCACAAATGCAAAATGTCATAATGATGACACTGTTGCTGTGTCACGGTTTTCTATAAAGTATCAAAAGTTACAGAATAAAAAATATATAGAAGCCTCACCACGACATCTGTGACACGACGCCTTAGAAACTACAAAGAGCGGCGCTCTGATCAAAGCTTGCCTACGGAAAGCTTTAAGTCATTTCCATATTTTTGATTAGAAAAACAAACTCAAACTACTCCTTTCTGTGTTTTGACTATTCATCACTTGGTATTAAAGCATCAGAGGTCACAGGTTACACACTCTGGACTTAGTCCACTGGGACGTCCGTGACATTGACACTCTTCTCCTAATTTAATCCAGATTTCCTTTGGCAGCTTTACAAATATATTTTTCAATCGAACAGCCTGAAAAAGTTACAACTTGCCTCAGTAATATGTAATGTAATGTAATATGCACAATCTGGGGGTGTGTGTGCTTCCCAGCAGCTGAAAGCCTTATTCAATGCCTACTAATTACTTTGAGCTTGAAGTTTGACCATGGTGCTGTGTTTACAAGCATGCAGGATGTGTATTGCTAATTTTAGTTTCTCTGGTCTGCAGCCAGAGCAGAGATGGACGCCGGTGCCAAGAGTGTTACATTAAATTAAATGGAGCCCTGCCAGGCAGGTGTGGGCGAGAAGAGGCTGCCTGCTTGGGAGGAGAACAGCAGGATCAGACCTGCTTTGCATTTTCTGATAAGCAATTCAAGCCCATGCATGTGGTGGACACTTCATGGATAAACTACCACTGCCGCTGCCAGCACATAGCTAAACCCTCGCTGATGTTCTGTGCTTGATAAAAGCAGTCGAGGAATTCTCAGGCTTCGTCATGCATAAGGGGGAAGCGCTCTGTGTTTTATATTCAGATGAAAAGTTTATTTTCAAATGGGAGTGGCGCAGCTCACCTTTGGGCTGAGTTGTGATGTCCAGCATCATCATCGTTGTTTTCTGCGTCTTTCAGCAGCTCCTCTGCTGCCTTCCTGGCGTCCTCGTCTTCGTACTCCCTCACGTCGTTCACCTCCTTCACCTTCAGCAGCTTCACCACGAAAATCACAATAAACTGCAGAGAGCAGAGGGGAACAAGCGCCGAGCAGAGCAGTCAGAACGAGAGCGTGAACTGGAGGAGTTTTTAAAAAGACTCAGTTGCAAAGGGCGCTCACCAGGAACCAGTAGATATTCATGAGCAGCAGGGCGAAGAGCAGGGCGTTGAAGAAGAAGTAGAAGGGGATGTTGGGGACAGATTGGATGCTGGACACACACGTGGCGTACAGCACTTTAAGAGGGAACCAGTAGAGTCGGAACCAGAACCTGAGAAAAACGAGGCGGGAGCAAAACAGACAGCAGATATCTGATGAATAAGACACCAGACAGGATAATGACAGAGCTGTCAAAACTTCAAACCATTTCAGTGAGACAGCCGAGCAGCGGAGGGGGAGAAATCAGAAAGCGAGTTGAAGATTTAAAGCTCACCAAGTGACGCTGAAGCTGACGGAGCCCATGTTGGACAGAACGTCGTTGAGCAGGTGGTGCCCGCCTCCTCTGGCCTTCAGGTAGACGTTGAGCTTGGTGAACTCCAGCAGGACGTCGTTGATGTCGTGCAGGAACAACACCAGGATGCCCACGTTGTGGTACCTGAGAGGGAGAAATCAAAGCGAGACGCGTTTTCTGTTGAGAACACGGTCGGGATGCAGCGCTCTCCACACCTTTCCCCCGGTTTTTTTTTTTTTTAAGTACCTGAAGGCGTAGGAGAAGCTAATGAGAGCCAGGGTGATGATGTGATGCACCACCATGACAGCAGAGTCCTTCCTCCATGTGTCCATGTTGACGGTGGCGTAGATGGAGTGGCCGTAGAAGCTGCCCTGGATCAGGTAGGCTATGGCGATGTCTGTAGGCACTCTCATACCACTCTTCCAGTCTGAGGGAGCAGAAGGAGATCAGGGGAAGACGCTGCGCTACAAGTGGCTGCGACGACTGCAGCAGCCAGAGATACACAAGAAACCCTGGCCGAAATGTTTGACAAAGTAGGTCGCGAACCATGTTTAAAAGTTTATTTAGATCATTTATAAAAGATCAATCAATCAATCAATGATTCTCTGCCTGAAGGTGGGAGCAGGACGACACAACCCAATGAATGCCTCGACAGAGAGCAAACATCGTGTCCTATAATGAAAAGATATTCCAATTTTATGCACTTTGTGCAGATTTTTGTCATGACATCAAAAAGTGAAGGTACATAAACGTCTTTTCCAAAGTTCGCGATGCTGCGTAATAAGCATGCAAGTAAAAACAGATGAAATGATTTGGAAAACATCTGCAGGCCACTATGTGAAATTACAAATTCGACAAAGAAATCTGCATACATTTAGCAGCCTTTTATATGAATTGAATTATTTTTAACTTAATGTAACAATGCGATTGTTGCAGTGTCTTACTTTTTTTTGATTAATTATTATTGTTTAATCTTCATGCTGCATGACTCTAAGCACATGGGTCGCTGATGCCTTTTTATTTTTATTCTTAATAATCTAAACTAAACTCCAATAAATGATGAACACGGTCCACAAGGTGGTGCATTTCAACAAGAAAGTCCTGGGTTCAAATCCTGAAATTAGAACTAAATAAATATTTCCTCCTTACTTTAGTTTATGCTTAAACTTTGTTGCAAATACAGCAGGAAAATAGTCCCTCATTTAAATTCCTCCAGATGTACAAGAGTCACCGAGGCATGGACAGTTTGTCGTATCTTGGTCATGCGTCCCTTTAAGCATGAGTCAGAGGCACGGCATGGTAAATACAGCAGAGATCCTGGAGGAGAAGCTGTGGTGGTTAGCGCTGTTTAGTGGGAGGATGGATCAGGTTTCCAGCAGCATTAGGGAACGTTTCTGATGAAAACCCGCCTGAATGCAGGCCGAGACTGGCTCGAGTCTCTGAAGCCTATCGGATGTTGGACGGAAACTCTCTCCTCCGATGTTTGAGTGAGGCTTGTCTCCACAGGGATGGGGTTTCATTCAGGCGTCGTGTAATGTTTATCGATCAAAGCTTCCACCATTAAACATTGAGAAGAGGCTCGAAAAATGGATCCCAGCAGAAAAGCTGCCAAGGTGAGGAATGGGAAGCAGAGGTATTTCTTCCTACTTAAAGCTTTAGATTTTTCCACCTTTTTATTCAGGATAAATACGCAGCACCTTGCAAAAGCATTCACAGCACTCAATTTATTTATTTGTTCACATTTCTCCGTCACAGTTTACGTCGGTCAAAGGCAGAAGTTTGTGGTTGTAGCCTTAAACAATGTGGGTGCTTTTGCAGGTTTTGGTGCTGTTTTTCAGATTCTCTTATCATCCCTCTCTCCATCTTCCCTCTCAGCTTGATTCCTCCTCTCACTCTCTAAAAGTCAGGCCCTGTTACTCTCCGGCTCCACACACCACACACTGACGGCTATTAGCCGTGACGCGGCGATCAAAGACGGAGCTGATGCTGTCAGATAGCCCCTCGTGAGCCCCACTTGCCTCTTCCTCCTCGTCCTCTCCAGGAGCGCTGACACCTCAGTGTGATGTAGGAGGTCGAGGGACAGTAAAAGACATGAGTGGGATTCACGCGAAGTCTGGGAGCACTTCCATCTTCCATTAGCAACACACTGAAAACTGTAACGATTCTGGTTTCCATTAGGGTACAATCATAAAGATCTCCTGTTATAAAAGTTGTATGAAACCTAATGTGTTCCATAGTACTAAAATATGTTAAATAAAGATATTCTGTTATTAATGGATGGACTCTGAGGCATTGAAATATGGCATAACTTAAAAGCAAAAAGGTTTTGTGCAGGCTCAGAAAATGTGCAAGTCTTCAAACTCTCTATATGACTGGATATATATCTGCCCATATAAGTACTGAAGGGAATTTCACCTCCTGCAGAGTCTCCATAGAGCAGCTATAGGGCCTTATTTTACCTTCTGGTAAAATAACCGCAGCCAGAAGCGTCCAAACGTTTTGCACCAGGGGTCAAAATCCTAGAGGGGAGAAAATGAGCCTTTTCTCTCCAATTAAAAATAGAAAACTAATATCATTGTGAATATTTTATCCTTTACGACAATAAAATTAAACAACTAATATTTTAGTGAAGTAAACAGTGTGACATTTAGCTTAATGTTTACAGTTATTTAACTTCTTTCTTGGTCTCTTAAATGTTCATTTCCAGCAACAAAAAAATTAGAATTTTCTTTTAAAACCTTTGCTGTGTTTAGCCAAGTGCAATGGATGTGTGTGTTTCTGTGTGTAAAAAGTGGCTGGATGTTTGTTGCCCACCTTACCAAAATATAAAAAAAAGAATAAAAAAGGAAACAAGAAGGAAAAGAAAACAAAATTCTCTGTGTTGTACTTAATTACAAAAATTGGTCAAATTATCACCATTCTTGGACTGCTGTCAGAGACCACACAAAATTATTTCAAGAGCCACAAATGGCCCCCAGACCGCACTTTGGACACCACTGACCTCAGCTCTTTCTCTGCCGTGAAAATCTAAGAAGGAAATTTCTCCTTAGGTCAGCATTTATCCGTTTATCTGGCTGACTTTTACTGACTGGATCACCTTCACTGCTACCAACGTAATGTCTCCACGGTTGTGTGTCTTACTGTAGAAGACGGAGGGCGGGTCGTTGAAGAAGGAGTAGGAGGAGAAGAAGAGCAGGTAGGTGCTGTAGGACCATGACATGGTGTAGAAGACCAGCTTCCACGCACTCTCTGGCATCTTGGCAGCATCTTTGGGCATCAGCCTGCACCACTGTGCAAGAGGCTGCAGGAGAGAAATCAGAAATAAGTCACAATAATTCTCCAGGCAGTCAGAAGAAAATGGAGAAAGTCTTATCACAATGTTTCCTTACAAACTGCCCACTGTGGAGTCTCTTTTCTGCTCTGTAAAAAGGTGTCATCACACTCCTTTTCTCATAAGGTAGAAAAAAATGTGTAAAAAAAAACAACAACAACAAAAAACAGCCAGATGAAAGTTCAAAACCAGGCCATAAATATCTCAATCTCTTCATACATTTAGAGGTGTTACCATAATTTGACCGATCCTGATTTAAATGAACATGTTAAAAAAGAAAAGCCATGACTCAGCTCACTGAAATAAATTTCAAACGCACTGCAGGCCTCAGAAAGCTGAATCAGCACCTCAGCAAATAAAACCTATTCATCCACATCTTCATAAATCTATGCTTTACTGCTGCACCACTGCATTAGACTGCATTAACTTCAGTAAGATCTGCAGTTCTGGCTCCTATCTGTGCTCTGAAATTTGATTTATTTTTTTTTTTTCTACTGTCAATTCAGAAAGATCTGAAAGTTGGGATTCCTATTTTAAAAGTCAAAGTTCCTCTTAAACCAACAGCTGTTGCTAAGGTGATTGAATAAATGAAACGCTGACAGATTGTCTTGGCTAATTATAGTTGCCATGGTGACTAAGTGTGATTGTGGCGTGATGGTGTTTCAACCACAGATGTAAAAAGCCTGCAGCTTCACTTATGACACATTTTTGGTATCCAAAGCATAAAAACAGTGTCTAAAGGCTTTAGGTTGTTATTCAAAAGAACAGTTTTGATAAACAATTATTCCCTGGACACAAGTGGCAGAAATCAGCTTCTTCGGGAGGTGGATGGACCTGTTGCCCTGGCAACCTGATCTTGGATAAGCTGCAGACAACGGATGGATGGATGAAATTATTTCACAGTTTTGCTTTTAATTTAATTGTTTTAACTTCAAGTTCATGAGAGCGTCTAAGGAACCTCTGATCAACTATCCACGATTTTCTGTGTCTCTGGGTTTAAACATGATATGATGTAGAGGCTTATTTCTTCTAGTCAGTTTTCAAAATGGGGAAGAGGCGAGAGCATGCCAACCAAACAACACATGCTGAGCTACCAGCTTAAACTTGATCAGCTATTCTGATGCTTTCTTTGATAAGAGAAATTTTTACATAGTTTTATGATTAAAAACATGAAGCTGAGCACCCAATGACTCAGATGAGTGATGACTTTAGTCTGTTTTTTATTTAAAATGTATTTACAGACTAAAAGGTGCTGAATATAGAAAGAGAAAAACATTTGCTATTAATAAAAACCAGTAATGCAACAAAAAATATTTTCGCTTTCTTTACTTTTTCCACACAAAGCTAAATTTAATCTTTAAACCGCTTGTAATCTAAAATAAAATTTATTTTTTTCATAAATATAAATAGTTGCAGTGCAGCAGCTTAGAAACTGAAGTGTTATGTTCCTTTCTGCAGCTCAGCCTGGGGTTTTAAACCAGGAAGTAGTGCCTAGATTTCTCCAAACCACAACTAGACGTGCTATTTAGCGAAGAGAAACACGAACAAGGATCACCCAGCTCGGGCAACACTGTGTAAGTACGGTAAAATAAATATAGCTAAAAATATCTCAAATGTGAGCAGTTACATTTTCTTACCACATCAAAACTGACTAGATGTAGCAGAACAAATGTTCAATTCAATTCAAAAGTATTTTAATGGACCCTAGAGGAAATTAAATGTTGTTGTACCTCATATTAAGTGTCTTTAGGAGTTACTGTAGATACTGACGGAGGGAGGAAGGATCTCCTATAGCAGTCTGTATTACAGCGAATCTGAAAAAGCTTCCGTCTGAGATACCTCTGTTGCCACACAAGAGTTTTATACAACAACAGGGGCGCCCATAATTTTCTTGATTTTATGGAGAATCCATTATTTGTGGGTTGTTCAGAGCAGTCTCCAGAACAGAACCAGCACTCTTTATCCGGTTGTTTTGTTCCAGTCTTTGATGCCGCTGCTGCCCCAACACATGATGGCAGAAGAGATTAGACTTTTCCGGGTGAACAGCGATGCAATGTCTCGCCTTTCTTCGTGTCTCTTATCATTGCGTAATAGTTTTAAATTATTTTCAGAAAAGTAAAAAAAAAA